AGTCTAAGTTTTTGTTCTCTATTAATTTCAAATTGTTGCATAATTTTTTTCATCATTAGAAAAATAAAAAAAAGTATATCTGAAATGCACAGAAAAATTCATTTTTGGAGTTTCAGCATTAAAAGAGATTTTATGCATAACAAAAGACTTCGTAGTAAAAAGATCTCTGTAGTATTAGTTTCATTAGAAGTGTGACTCCTCATAAAAATGCCTCAAATGCATTGACTGTATTTTAGCAGTTTTGCTCCACCAACAAAAAGCATTGAATGTGTGTCATTTAGGCAATAGGAGGCCTAAACACTGCATGTTTACACACATCTGCTTAACCATCCTTAGTCTTTTGTCAGCAGAGTCTTATTTCTACCTAGGGGAAGTATCCTTTAAAACAAAAAAAAGTGTGGGCAGGGCAAAAGAAATTGCCTGATTTGTCATTCTTTTACTGGCATCTTTAGCTCATTGGCAAAGTTATTCTGGAAATGTAATGAGAGCTTCTTGTAGAATTTTTCTTGTTGATTTTTAAACTGTTGCATGCTCTAGCTCAACCGTACAAATCTGCTGTGCTGCCTCTATAGCCCTGTAAGGTTGGAGTATGAGCCCTCGGATGTGACTGTAGTTGGCAGCTGGCTTTAGTTAAGAATTTATAAAGGAGGACTCATAAGGAGAGAGCTACACTGAACGGGTGCAATAATATCAAAAGGTTTCAGTTTAGCTCTGATAGTTTGTTTGCAGATGGCCTGGTTTCATTGCAGTCACCTGAAGGTCATTTGTTAATGATATAATAATTTTCAGAGAGCTACAGTTTTACTTATGCATTTATTTACTTTTACGTAACTGCAGTGTACTGAATCTTCTCTTATCTTGCTGCCCTTGTACCTTCCCCTTTTAAAGCTCTTTTCTTACCACTGTACTAAAATCACATAATCACAACTTTCTTCCCTAGTTGTTGGGGTTATTACTGTTTGTATTCCTTATTATATATTTGAAGAATAACAATTAATTGGGTCTGTCCGGTGGGCTGAAAGGGGAAGCTTGTTTGTCTTTCATTTGCCTTCTTAATTCATTTTACTTAACAGCATTATTCCTGGCGCTCAGAAAATCTGGATTCGTACATGGGGATGTTCTCACAATAATTCAGATGGTGAATACATGGCTGGACAGCTAGCTGCCTATGGATACAAAATTACAGGTAAAAATACCATCCAAGTCACACAATTCAGGTTTTTTGGATGAATGTTCAGAATTTCAACTGTCATCGGTTTTTATTTTGTTTTTTTAGTCTGAATTACATTTTGTTAAATCCTCATTCATTCTCTTTCTCTGTATGTTAGTGTAGCGTAAATAGAAAATGTTATTCGCAAGTTATTCAGTGTTGTGAAATGAGTGTAAGGACAAAAGCTATGATGCACTTCTGATCTAAGACATCAAGTTGATGCCTGTGGATAAACTTTATCAGTTCTACTATGACTCCTCAAATTAAAATTCATTTGAATGCAATTCCAGAAGGTAAATTAAACTTGTATATTATTTGGGCCTTAAGTGTCTTTTGACTACAGTTTCGATCACTAGTAAATTTCTGCCTAATTTTTATTTTTATAAACACTAGAGAAAACACATTCCCTCTGAAATCCTGAATAGCAAGTTTTAAAATGGCTGTTTGTATGTGTTTCTGTTGTAAATTCCATTTTTAGGAAACTTCTTCCACGCACTGCCACCTGTAGTATTAAAACAATTCCTTGCAGCAGATAGTCATGTGGGGGGCGATGATATGATTGATCAACTTGGAGAATGTTACCTGTCTCCCTCTTTCTTACCGAGCTGGTAGTTTCTCTGTGATACATAAACGGGGAACTTTTCCTTAGGGACAAAAAGACACCCTTGTTTCTTACTGAATTGTGCTGCTGCTTTGACAACTCAAGACCCAAAAAGGAAGTCTTGTTCCCTTCTTCACTGGAGAAGGGTGGTATCCTGTAACCATGCAGTATTATGATCCTTCTGATTTGAGGGTGAGGAAATGAACTGTTTTCCTGGGACTAAGTAGAATGATAGTTTAGACGATGAGTGGTTTCAAGAACAGTTATGTTTTTGTGGCAAGGCAGCCATCTAATAGATATCATGTAGAATGTAGTGCCTTTTTGGAGTTCTGCCTGTTGAACTTGATTTAAAAGTTTTTAAAACAGTGAAGGGAAAAGTTTTTAATTCTCGGGCAGAATCTAGCTGGTGGTCTGATTGTGTCACTGGAACCCAAGTGGGATAGAGAGGAAGGGAGTATGTTGTCACTTAGTGACCAGAGTTGAATTACTCCACTTGAGTAACTGCCTTGTTTCTGAAGGAACGATGTGTATGATGGAGGTGGGATGGTATAGGATTGCGTCCTATAGATTCAGAAGAGCTGAAAATGGTATTTCTCCTTTTCTGTGAAGAGTTTAAAACACTCTTCTTCCTCCAGCCCTTCTCCTTCGCCTACCTCAACCCCAAGTCTTTTTTTCTTTGGGGGTGGGGGAGTGTGCTGGCCATATTATTTCTCCTTAATGCAAAAAGTGTTGAAAGAAAAGCTGTGGAAAGCTGCAAACACAGATTCATGTCATGTTTCAATGGGTAATTATTATCTGACTACTTTTGTACAGCTTATGACTAGTCAAAATCTGAATGTAACTTTAATTTTATTTATTAATTCAAGGTTTTGTCTGTCTTGCATTTAAATTTACTGTCTGCTTTTAATGAAAGACTGCAAGGTTGTCTTTTCTGGCACTTACACTAGAGACGTTTTTTCCTTGAATTTTAAAAAAGGATTTTTTTTTCCTCTTTGAAGAGCTCATGTCATCCTTCAGCAGTAACATCACGTTTTCCTCTTCTTGCAGTTGATCTTTCTGTATTTCTCTGAAAACTCTTTCATCTAGAGGCAAGATGCTGAATTTTTCAAGCATTGAATTATTTTAGGGGAGCAAGATGATTCTTTAATCACTGGTTCAAGTCTGAAGTAGGTATGCTGCCTTGGCAGATGAGTGGTGATCCAGAAACACTTATTTATGGTAGCTATTTCTGTTCTATTTTGCCTTGTTATGGCTGTCTTAGATTAAGCTTCTTTTTTAAGGTTTAGAGTATTTTATTTCTCCAGTGCATAGCATGCCAGAAGCTACTTGTATCTCTGTATACATGTCAGGATTTGGATGCCTGTCTTGCCCTGTTAGAATTCTGTTGGGAGCAGTGCAGGAAAGATAAGGGGGAAGGAAATCCCTGAATTTTTTTTCTACCTTCTCTTATTTCAAAATTGTTTACAGCTTTGAAATAGAAATAGATCTGTATGTGGAATCGCAGCATGAGAACTAGAAACTTAACAGAAGATGCAGTAGTTGGGACAGGAATACCTACAGAGTAATTACCTATATGGTAATAGTGTATGAAGATTGACTGACTGCTAGTTTCTGGTCATTACTAAATTAGTCTCTATATTTATGTGTGTACGTATATTATTTTATATATAAAACATGTAAATATATATAGAACAGTGCTGAAGTTGTAAGCCAAAAACTACTGTGTTTTTTCCTTTATGAAATTGGGAAACTCTTTGTTAAGCTGACATATTTAAGGATATCTCAAAATTGCACTTTTGTCCAACAGAACCAAAAAAAGTGGCTACAAATTCTGACTGAAGTGTATTTTTAAGAATCCTTCTTCTGAATGTTATCTTTCATCTTCATAAGCTATTAATGAAGCCAGAACTGATTACAAATATTGCAAGTATGATAGCTGTATGTGAGAATGTGAGGCAATGAAGAAGGCAGTTGCCTTTCTGCTGAACATAGTGATGCTTCTGGTAACAAACATGTATGAAACAGTGTCTACTCTTTGATTTAGCGGTAACATCCCTCAGGTTTTAATACTAAGATTGATGCTGTTTGATCTCTTTAGTGGACCTGGGTGACAGGTTGTAATGTACCTTCAGCAAGTTTGCAGATTATGCTGAACTGGAGGGACTGGTTGGTAGGCAGCAAACTTAGTGCTGCTATTCTGAGGGACCTCAACAGGCTGGATATCAGGGCTAACAGACCCCATGATGTTCAACAAAGGTGAATGCAAAATTCTGCATCTGGGATGGAATAACCCTAGGCAGTGATAAAGGTGAGGGTGGGCATACTGGCTAGAAAGCAATTTTCCAGAAAAAGACTTTCAGGTCCAGGTAAACAAGAAATTGAACATGAGTCAGCAGTGTGCCCTTGCAGCAAAGAAGGCTAACTGCATCCAGGGCTCTGTTAGCTACATTTTTGCCAGCAAGTGCGGGGAAGTAATTCCTTTGATTTGGTCCTTGTGAGACCATATGTGGAGTGCAGCATTCAGCATTCCAGGCTGTGTCTAGTTTTGGTTTCCCTAGGAAAAGAAAGGCATTGCTATACTGGAGTGAGCCCAGTGGAGGACCACTAGGATGATTAGGGAGGTGCGGCATGCAATGTATGAAGATAGATGGAAAGGATTAGGTTTGCTCAGCCTTAAGAAGAGAAGCCTATGGCACATCCTAGTTGTAGACAGCGATACCTGATTGGAGGGTATAGAGAAAATGGAGTTAATCTGTTCTCAAAGGTGCTCTTGTCTCAGTGAGACAAGAGACAACAGACTTCTGTTCTTAACAAAGTGGCAGTTAGGATTTCAGCGTTTGGTGCATAACATACACCTTGAGCTGTCCTTTCTCCAATAGAGGAGATTCCAATATAGCACATCTCCAGCATTTCGCTCTTCAATCTTTTTTAAATGGAGCATGTTAGTTTTTTTATGGCAAGTCTTCTGGGAAGTCCAGCTAGAACATCAAGATGAAAGAATTTACTTCATTATTGTCCTATATAGTGAAGTAATTATTCAGTAATAGTAATAATGAATATTAATTAACGTAATCCAAATATGTGAATGTTTCTTTAGTATTCCCTTGTACTTGATGATTTAGTATACAACTCTTGACCTCTAAGAAAGATAAAAATGTTTTGTTACACAGGTGTCTTGCTGATATTTTTTAGGTTGAAATGTCTTTGATACATAATTTAAACAATGGGCCTTGTATATACATAAGTGTATGTAGCTCACTATAGGCTTTTGATTGAGACCAGCCAGAGATATCATCCGATGTCAGTGTCTTCGAGCGCTATTATTTAAATTAAAAGAAGTATATTTTGATTAGCATATGTTCACTATCTGTCCCTGAGCTTTTAAGTTAACAATTTTTGTTGAATAAAGTTACTAGAATAAAGTTCTATCTTCTAGGAAATAAAATCCTTGACTTACATTTTTTGCTTCTTTGTAAGGGAAATGGTCGAGCACTGTCTCTAGTGTCTTCTAATTGCAGGAGTGAAAGAATTAGGAAGAAAAGCAGTATCAGCAACTCTTGCTAACTAGAAGTTGCACTAGCACAACTTACCTTCAAGTTGACTTAGTCAAAACTGAATGTTGATTTAATAATATTTTCTGATTATAGAAATAATAAATTTCTGTGATTGATTGAAAAAAAATTAATTGTTCCAATACTACTCTCTTCCCCTGTTTGTTGCATGGATTCTACCCTGTTCTTGATTTGAACTTTGTTCAGGGGACGCAGAAGTTCTTTCTTGTCTCTCATACATTCTGAAATGTTCTTGTTTTACAAGCACCTTGTTGCAGTAGGGAGTGGCTCTGTTGACAGGTGAAAACTAAGGGTCATGCTACAGTTTTTCGCAACAAAACAAAAACACAAACTCTGCCACAGAGAGAAAGGACGATGTAAATCTACAGTATACCAAGAGCAATGCTGTTCAGTATCGGGAACTGCATCAGCCTTATAAAAGGCAAAGGGAAACCAGAAGAAGAGCTGAATCTATATCTGCTTTTACAATGTGAGGGTAGGCAGCTGGACAGATTGTATATACCATCCTGTGAGAATACACAGCTCCTTTCTGAGGTATAAAAAACTGTGGATGTACCAGCTAGTGCCAGCTTATGGCAGTATCATGGTACTTGCTCATGTTCAGGAAATATAGTTGATGGTGTCTTTATGGGTTCTGCAGCTGGTTTTAGTTTCTTGGCAGCATGACCTAATCATATCTAGCATGACCTAGAGCATATTTATAGTTTAGATATGCCTGCAGACCTACCAGTGTGCTCCCTTTGAGATAGACCCTGGAGAAATAAACCCTTTTGGTACAGATAACTAGTGCCTGTTGTGAGAAA